TCCTTATCATACCCTCTACCACAGGGGAGCTCCTGGAGCACAGCAGGCAGGAGCTGGCAGAGGCTTTGCAGTGAGAAGCTTTCCCCAAAGCCACATTGCTGCCTTAGGAAGCTTTTTAAAAGCTTCTGCACCACGTATTAACTGCGTCTTGATTAGGGATCGCTCGCATCTCCTTTAATTTCCCTCCTAATTAGGGTGTTCACCTGCTGCAGTGGGGAGCACCTATCTAACCCTTGCACAGGCACACAGCTCCCAGGAGCATTTAGCGGGGGTTTTACAGCTGGGGTTGCAGGAAGCTCTGCTCGTGATGCCGCAGGGTTGCCTAAAATTGTGCAAAATTTGAGGGAGGCATCCAGAGCGTGAGCTGAGGATGGAGGTGGGGGGGCTGCAGCGTCTCCCAGTGCTTCCCTGCAGGGCCGGGAGCCAGCTGAGCCTAACCGGGGTCTCTGCACCGGGGTGAGGGTGCTCAGGGCCCTTCTCGTTGGAGGTTTGCTGCTTGCTGGGAGCTCGGTGGGGCTCTGCACCTCGCTGCCCGTCGGTCCGGCTGCTGGGGAGAGCCCGGGGCCTGCGGCGGAGCGGAGCGCAGAGCGGCAGTGGGCTCTTGTGGTGGAGGCGGCCAACTGCACGCTGTGCAGGCAGGGGTGCAGGCAGGGGTGCAGGCAGGCTAGGGAGCTGCTGGTTTGCTGCTCTCTCCAGCATCGGTGAGAGCGCAGCTGGGGCAGGCTTGTGTTTGGAGGGACGTCTTGGGCTCCCTGGTGAGAGCAGTGAGAAGCTTGCAGAAGACTGCAAGCGCTGCTGGGGGAGGTTGCAAGGAGAGCTGGTGAAGTCTTCAGTGTGATGAAGGATGAGGTCCTGAGCAACCTGGCCCAAAGGGACCTGACTGGGGTGGGAGGCTGGACCAGGTGGCATGGGGGGGGGGTAACTTTCAGCCAGTGTCACCTTCTGATTTTAAGGAGAAGATGAGCACAGGGAGAGTCAGGGTCCCCTGAGAGAAGGTCCATCCACCACTTGCGGATTTGTGTACTTGCTGTTTGGTGCGAGAGGGTGAAGCGTTTCCTTCCTCCTGAGAAAGGTCCCCAACACCCTCCCCAGTCCCTGATGGGGCAGGTCCTGGGCCACCTTGTGCATCTGCACCCAGCTCCTAAAACATCTAATACACAGAGATGGATTAAGAAAACACATTTTTATTTCTGCTGAAAAGGGAGTGATGCTTCTAGAGAAGCAAAGCCTGTCTTTGAAGGGCTGAAAATCAGGACAGTTAAGGTGGAAAAAAAAGCATGATCCCTGGTGTAAGGGCACCAGTTGGTGAGAAGCAGCCGTGCTTTTACTTGCTCCAGCTAGATTTGCCTGAGGATGGTGCTCTGAGGTACGGAGCTGAGCCTGGAAGAGAGTGTCCCACCTCGGGGTGCATCCTGTTGTCGATGGCCTCTGTGTCCTGACCCTCAGACATCATTTCCCACGCCATGAAGCAGCTGTAGAGCAGAGATGAGACCAAGTCCTTCCCTGCATGGTCCCCAGGATATGGTAAGCCCTGAGCACCCTAATGAGGCCAAATGTTGGTGCATCTTTAGTTGTGCTCATTTTAAACAATTTCAAAAGGAGAAGAGTTTGTCATTATTAAATTTTGAAAAAAAAAATTATCTTCCTGTCTTATTTTTGTGCTGCCCTGTGCACCCTGCCAGTGATGTGCAGCATAGCTCGTGGTTCCCAGCTAACACCGAGCCATCCCAAAGTGACAAACAGAATTTGAAAACCTCCACCTGTGCAGTGGAGCTCAAAATAATGTGGTCGGGCTGCTCCACGCCATGCAATGGACGCGATTGTGTGGTGCCTCGAGTCCGGCTCTGCAGCCCTGGGAGGTTGGGGTGTCCCCTGTGTCCGTGTCTCGCTCTGTAGCCTGGAGAGCAGCTGAGCTTCAGAGGAGCCAGATTTTCACACCACGTAAATGGCATTTATATCTGCTTTGGGCATTAACAGCATCACACAGAAGCTGATGAATACTACTGCAATAATTGAATGTAACTGATGTTATTTCTGAGCTTTAAATGAAAGGGTTTAGATGCAGCCAACCTCCTAGGGGAGAAGTCTTATGTTCATAGAGACAACGTTGTCTATGAAGGTCTCGGAGCACCTGCACGTTGGAAACCTGCCTGTGTGCGAACAGGAAGCAGGAGGAGATGTGTTTTGTTTTTAGCACCAAATCTAATTTTACTGTCGGTGCTTTTGGCAAGTCTCAGCTCAACCCCGGTTTTCTTTTCTAGTTTCTTTGTTAGCGTTACTTTGCCCATCTGCCACCAGGATGCAGCCGGCGTGGTCTGCAGCTCAGCAACGCTTTTGCAGCGTCCTGCAGCCATCCTCCCTGCACACTGCTAACGTCCGGATGGCTCAGGGTCACAGGTCTAGTCTATAGGGATTTATTCCTGAAGCATCGTAATAATTAATGCGTTAGGTCTTCCAGCTCCTTTTCTCCTGGGCAGTCCAGATCTGTCACCAGTGCCGGTATCTGTACAGCCGGACTGGGGACAGCCCAGCTGGTGGGAGGACAGTGCTCAGGAGGGGGTCACAGCACTTGCCTTGGTGACAGTGACTTCTCCTCCCAGCACCAGGATTGTCACATCAGATTTTCCTTCAGGTGGCTGAGCAAGTTGGTGCTCCAAATCCCATCTGCCTCCCTGCCTTTGGGGAGAAAAGGGAGCGGTTTGGGGCTGCAGCACCCTAAAGGGGCGTCCTCCCTCCGGCTGGTGGGACGGGGGCTGCACGGAGCGGAGTCCAGCACAGGTGGGTGCTGGTGTTGGGGGGAATATACCTCCTGGCAGAGCAGTGGTGGGTTAAACACGGGGCACTTGGTGAGGTCAGCTCGTTCTGCAGATGGCTTGGGAGGCGATGGGAAGAAGGATATGTCTTGCAGGGCTTTTGAGGAACCCCTACAGTTCTCAGGCATGATACCACCAAGGAAAGGAAATAAGTTTTTTGGTGCAGTGGTTCTGTTCCTCTCCATCCCTGAAAAAGAAAGGCATAAAAAAAGGGAGGTGGAAAGATGAGACTCGCCCCAGAAGGAAGCAGCCTTCCCACCCACCCACCCACCCAAAAGCAGAGTACGGGCTGGGAGACATCCACTTCTACACCC